GACCCGCCTGGGCAACTTGGCGAGACCTCATCTCTACAATAAATCAAAAATTAGCCGGGTGTGTGGTAGTGTGCGCCTGTAGTTCCAGAAACTTGGAAGGCTGAGGCGGAAGGATCGCCAGAGCCCAGCAGGTCGAGGCTGCGGTGGCTGGGAGCAGCCACTGCATTCCAGTCTGGGTGACAGAGTGAGACTCTAATTAAAAAAAAAAAAAAAAAATTCAAAACATTAGCTGGGTGTGGTGGCTCACGCCTATAGTCCCAGCTACTTGGGAGGCAGAGGCAGAAGGATTGGTTGAGCCCAGGAGGTTGAAGCTACAGTGAGCCCCGTGGTTATACTACTGTATTCCGGCCTGGGCAACAGAGACACTGACTCAAAAAAAAAATAAGTAAAAAATATAGCCGGGCATGGTGGCATATGCCTGTGGTTCTAGCTCTTTGGAAGGCTGAGGCAGAAAGATCACCTGAGCCCAGCAGGTCAAGGCTGTGATGGCTGTGAGTGTGCCACTGCCCTCTAGCCTGGGTGGCAGAGTGAGACTTCTCAAATAAATAAGTAAATAAGTAAATAAATAAAGGGAGGTTGAGGGAGTAGGATGTGGGCAAGTCATTAATAGAGTCCCAGCCGGGCTCGGTGGCTCAGCCTGTAATCCCGCGCCTTTGGGAGGCTGAGGTGAGTGAATTGCCTGAGCTCGTGGGTTCGAGACCCGCCTGGGCAGCGAGACCTCATCTCTACAATAAATCAAAAAATCAGCCGGGCGTGGTAGCCCATGCCTGTAGTTCCTGCTTCTTGGAAGGCTGAGGCGGAAGGATCGCCGGAGCCCAGCAGGTCGAGGCTGCAGTGACCGGGAGCGGCCACTTCACTCCAGTCTGGGCGACAGAGTGAGACTCCAACTCAAAAAAAAAATACAGTCCTGTATGTGATACATTCCAAAGAGTCAGTCGGTGTAAACGCAATGAAGCCAGCTGTATCTGCTAGGTGGCAACTATTGAAGTTAGGATTCTTGCCTACGGTAGAGACTGAGAGACAAGGCGGCGTCCTCAGGTATTGACTGGGACAAGCAGGAGGCATTTATTGGCAGCCTCAAGTCCTTTCAGCAAGCAGCTTAAAGGGGCCTAGGGTCATCTTAGCGGCCTGGAGCTATCTGAAACTGCTAGTGTTCATTCAAGTCTTTTTTCTTTTCTTTTTTTAGAGAGTCTCGCTCGGTCACCCAGGCTGGAGTGCTGGCACCTGATCACAGCTAACTGCAGCCTCAAATTCCTGGCCTCAAGTGATCCTCCTGCCTCAGTCAACCAAAGTATTGGGATTGCAAGCGTGAACTGTTCAAGTCTTTGTAAAACCAGGCCGAGGCCTAGTGGAGAAGGGGGCTCAGAGGATCCTGGCGAGAGTTTTGTCGATGAGAGAGTCGTTTTCTTGAGTTGGAGTCTCATTCTGTTGCCCAGGCTGAAGTGCAGTGGCACGCCACCCCAGTCTCGATCTCCTAGGTTCGGGTGATCTTTCCAAGTAACTGGAACCCCACAGGAGGAACCACAGGTGCACGCCATCATGCTCGGCTAATTTTTTGAGGTTTTTTTTTGAGTTGGAGTCTCACTTCTTTTTTTTTGAGTTGGAGTCTCACTCTGTCGCCCAGACCGGAGTGCAGTGGCCTCTCCCGGCCACCACAGCCTCAACCTGCTGGGCTCCGGCTATCCTTCCGCCTCAGTCTTCCGGGTAGCCGGAATTATAGCCATGTGCTACCACGCCCAGCTGATTTTTTTGATTTATTGTAGAGATGAGGTCTCGCCGCCCAGGGGGGTCTCGAACCCGCAATTCACTCACCTCAGCCTCCCAAAGGCGCGGGATTACAGGCTGAGTCACCGAACCCGGCGGAGTCTCACTTCTGTCACCCAGGTTGGAGTGCTGTGGTATGCTCATGACTACCACAACCTCAACCTGCTGGGTTTAGGTGATCCTTCTGCCTCAGCCTTCCAAGTAGCTGCAACTACAGACACATGCCACCACGCCCGGCTAGTGCTTTTTTGGTAATTTATT